TAGTTAAAAATACCAAAAGTTTTCAGGTTGTCGAACATTGTAGATGCATTTACAGTTTCGGAAAGATATTAAGTACTTGTTATATTTTCATAGATTTTTTTCTCTCGTGATAGTTGAAGGTCAATGCAGTCTGCTAGGAAGTGTTTAACTGTAAATGGTGAAACGTTACATGCCATGCTATGAATGTGGTCTTTGCGCTCCAATGTACACGAATGGTTAATGTATGAATGACCTATTCGGAGAGGGGCAAAGATATCCTCGCCTCGGGGCCTTTCCCTATAGCTATGGGGCTATTCATGTTTCCCCCAACTTTTTGGAGAATACATTATATTATTATACCTTCTGTTAAAATCTCGTAATCTGATTGGTTGAAAAAGATTTGAACATGTTCAATGTTACTTGCTCGTTTTACAAAGATAAAGAAGACAGGGTGTTATTCCAAAAAATATCACATGCGCCAAACGTATGCTTGCACGGTTCGTCCCAGTGCCAGGGTGTTATTCCAAAAATATCACATGCGCCAAACGTATGCGTGCACGGTTCGTCCCAGTGCCAGGGTGTTATTCCAAAAATTGTTACATGCGCCGAATGTATGCGCCCCTGGTTCATCCCAGTGAAAACTTTTCTGAAACGTTTGTCGACCTTTAAAAATGGTGAAGTGGTGAAACACCTAAACATGACACTCGGTATAATAAAATATATCAACAATGCTTCCTTGGGGTGAAAATATGCAATATCGCCCTCTCATGAATGTGATGTTTATATATTGTGTTGATATAGAAGGACAAAAGGCAAACCAATTATAGTCAGTTTAACACTATAAGCCTACAGATCACACTGATAAACATAAGTTTGCTTACGTCTGAAGTGCGTCTCAATACTCAATATCTGCTTCGGATGCTGACTAGGATCTGAAAATTGTTTTCTAAATATCTTAATTACCAAAAAAACATCATATCAACTTTCCATCAATTTTGTTTATGTATTTTGATATATTCTCAAGTCCAATCTGAATTTGAAATTTTGAAAATAAGTCAACATCAGCTAAGTTCGGTTATCATGAATGATTCTCAAACTATTTGCTGTTGATGGTCAAAGCAGGGATATTCGACACTCAAGACATAATTCCGTGGAATTCTTGTTATTTATGGTTTATTATCGATAACACAACGCCTTGTCACATACAAAAAATGTTTTAAATTAGAGTTTTAGTTGGCAAATTAGGTATATCATTCAATGATACAACAAAAAAGTTTTTTTGTATTGCTCAGAAATAACTATTCTATATTACTACTATTGTATTTTTATAATGTTTTTAAACTAAAAACGTATTACAAAGTAAAATAATGTATTGTATCAAATATCATAATTATCATCACAATCACTACAAAAAGTTTTTCATTTTGAATTCTTTATGGAATACTTTTATTTTAATATATTTTAATACGATATCTTATGTGATATCGTATTAAAAATCACCAGCTTCTAGCTATACATTCATTTGTTTAACCTTACTTAGAACAAGTAACTACAGGTAAAAACATGTGAAATAAAGGTAAATACTGTCAAAGCTATTCAGAAACAGACTATGATTCAACATTCTTCTCCCAATATTTGTTTTTAAACTTGAGGAGTCGATCGCTAGAACAAGCCGTAGCTAGGATACCATTCACGTAGTTCAGGTTTTATAGGGTGTAATCTGTTGTCTACTCATAAATTCTATTTATTATACAAGACCTCACACAGTTTATTACCAAAAGGTCACATTGACAATGCCTCACTTTTGGACTTTAGTTGAGCGTTCGCACCTGCGAGGAAGGCTTTGGGTTCTGTCCCCATGGCCGAGACATACCAGAGTCTGTACAAATGGTAGTTTCTACTCCTGCTTAACGCTCAGCAATTTAGGAGTGGGACGATTGGTTCGCCCGTTGTCAGTATAATGTGACCGGGTGGGGTGTTCTGCTGGGTGTCTTCGGCAGTATGTTTCAGTGAGGTAGCACTATAAAGTCGGCATCAGTTCCGCGCTATCACAAAGAGACAAACACGAACATATCGCAGCCGCCCAAAACACACACGCATACACTACACGCATGCATCTTGCACACAGGGGAGGCTGTCCTTCAATGACCTTAGCTGTTGATAGGACGTTAAACAATACTTAACCAAACCAAACTAATTTCAAGCATCTTATAATTTGGAGTACATGCAAACCAATACATATATAACATATGCAGCGACACACTTTCAGTTCTTTGTCACTTAACCAATTTCAGATGAACAGTAGCATACGTTACTATATAATTTATATACATATATATGCATTAACTGATATATTGTCAAAAATGTCTCCTTTTTGATATTTTATGTACTTAGTTGAAGTTTGGTCAGCCGCTACCTCATTTATGTTTGTGGCATTTTCAGTGTTTTCCCGTTTAACTCCCTGCACAACTACACTTGCTAACTGCTCTTGGACAGTGCTGGTACGCTTTTACTGTTGTACAGCGTCGGAAAGATATTGTTTTTACAAATTACTTTTTTGGGTATGTCTGCTTCATACATCCGAGTTGGAGAGGTCGTCCTGAGAGAGTGGTTTGTGAAAAAGACATAATTTCAAGCATTGGAATAGAGATGTCTCACAACTGCGGACAATGTATTTATTGCTACGCGCATATCAGCATACCATCTTGTTGCAGTTGGTTTGGTAAGAGAGCGTAGATTAACGGCAATTCAATAAGCGGTATTCTAGAAAGAAAGAAAGAGAAACAAAAATAAGAATAGGGCATCATTTGAAATGATAATATTTTACTAATAAGATTTGTTTTTGTACTCTAGGCAGTCGAATGATGTTATATTGCTGTGTACAGGTTATAAAAAACAAGATTCTAGCAAGCCACTTGGAACCTTAGATAACTGAATCACATCTAAAATTGCAATATGTTATATCTGTTATATTGTAGTAAGTGTATTTTATTGTTTAGAGTAACTGTACTTACCATAGTGACATGTATCGTTAGTACAACTGCACTAAACATCTAACAGGATGTTTGGTGTTGGCAAAGGCCTGGTGTTTTCCTAGTCAGTATTCGGTGGTCAATTCCTCCCGTGTTACACTTTGGTATGTCCTCAGTATATAATGTACTCAAGATACATCTTGCCAGATTGGTAGTTCTTTCCTATTTTGAGCTGACTGTGTGTGCCTACTCGTAAGTTGCAATGTTCTCGTCTACCTCTTAATGCAACGTTTAATCCCAGTATATACAACAGAGTATTTCGCAACTTCTCAGGAGTATCATAGCCCAGTATTCCTTTTCGTCACATCGTCTCCTCATTGTCAATACTGATGATATATGCTTGCTGTTTGTCTACCTAGTTAAGTCCTTCATCTTTTTAAATATCCAGGACATTTCTAGTGTTTTTTTTATAGTTCTTCATAATGAATCTTTTTTTTCCCGAAAGAAATGTATTGCCAGTGCAATTCATAAAGAGTATTCCTACGAATATCATAATCCTCTCTGTTCTCTTTACGGATTTCAAAAATGAAAGCACCTACAAAGTAATCTAACAATTCTAAATCCATTGTAATTCACCCTCCACATGTTTAATGTCTGTCCACACATCTATTGAATAAATTCACTGCCAACTTCAATTTTGCTTCTGGTTTTTGGCAAAACGTGAATGTGATATATCTTGCCTTTGAGAGTCTGCCAAAGGAACACTGTACCGTTTGGAAATATTAGAATCAGTGTCCACAATTTTATATATGCTTTGAATCAACACATTGCCAAAAATGTCGCTAAATTCCTGTGTTTTTTTTTACTGCTATCGAGGATAAAATTTGGAGTATGTTCCTTCTCCATATCAAGCACCTCTTTGTGTGAGGGAGATGTCATCTGTAATCCTGTACAGCATGCACAAGTGACATTTTGAATACCCCTGTCAGATCCATTATATACTGGTTATCAAAATAAATTGGAACACCTCAGTTTACGGTATGTTAAGAGAAACATGTTATTTGGAAAACCTCTGGCTCTGCTAATGTGTGTAAAGTAACTTATAAGGTATATTAATGGATGGTCATTGGACCATGATATGTGTGAAGGTGAATGCATTTTGCAGGTGATCCATTTATATAATATCCTACCCTTTGTCTGGGGCTCACTATGGGTATACTTATATAGTGTTTGAGTTTTTAAGTAGGATAAATCACTCGTTTGGTGTTGGATCAGCCAGTAAAATGACCCTGTCTTGGGTTTTCGCCTTTTGATTTAATGATTACTTTAAGACGCACCTCCACCACGCGGGGTATCATATGAACACAAAGAACACATTTTACACATGTTTAATTAAAGCTTTCTCTATTTCCGTTTCAACGGGACAGTTAAAATGGCAACCAGCCAAATGAACAGTCTACCTGAAGAGGAACATGTAAGCGACCAGTTTCTAGAATGTTCAATTTGTGGAAATCCATTGTTCGTTGATGATGTTCGTGGTCCAAGATATGAATCGTGTGCAAACCCGACCTGTAAAGAATGCATGACTCGGCAACTTCTGCAAAGTTGTGACTCGCATATATCTGGACCGGGTAGTGAGGTTCACCACAGTGACGAAACTGTTGTTACTCATGAGGTCTACATCAACAATCATGATTACCCTCTGGCATCGGAAATGGCACCTCGTGAAGATTCAACTATGCAACCATCACAGGAAATCGGTGAGTCACTTTCACTGCGATTTGACAGAAATGTTGTAACACTGATCTTTCCAGTTGCACACCCTTTCCTAAATACCTAAATCTTGTCATTATATTTAAGCAGCTTAGCACGTTTAAATTCTATTGATTGTTGTTCAATAAAAGTTACATCCTGAAATTTGCATAAGCCTTATTTAACCCCGCCCACATCAACTGTTGATATATCACATTTATGTCTCGTTCGCAGGAAATTTGCATAACTCCGCCCCTTTTTGTTTTGTCGACTTAATGGAAACTTGACTAGTTCTGCAATAAGGTATGCGATGCTAACTCCGATTAACGGGAACAATGTTTATTGGGTGTTTTTATTGCTTTTATTGTTTTCTGTTTCCCTTCATATTTTAGATAATTCTATGCAGGGTCCTGTTCGAACTATTAACGAAACATGCCAACTTATATGGAAACTATGGACCTTCAGTCAGGATTTGGTTACCACGTTGGCGCCATTGTTCCTTCTGATGATGCTAGTTACAATATGCGTATACATCCCGAGTTTTCCTGCCTACACCATTCTACCATCAGAGGAAGGTAAACATACCATTCATTAAAATTTCGACTTTTTTTAAAACTACAGATGTACGGTCGTTTTTGCTATCATTTGGTTTAGAATATAAAGCTGCGTATGTTTTCCTTTTTCTTTTTTACAATAAGGTTGATGTAATTCACTGATGAGATCCGGTCGCTATTGACTGTGTTTATCATATATAGGCAAACCTGCCCAGGAGACCACCTGTTTTAATATACCACTTTACAGAATTCCAGAATTCCCGATATGGCATTAGAATTCAGGTTAGAATCTGATAATTGTTGTTATAGTACGTGACTTTCTATAAATCATATGCGGTTACATTCATACTTTGCATTCATCGTGAGAAGATAATAATGCTTAGTTTTCAAAATAAAAATCTCAATATTCAATTCACCTTCTTGATGATTTTTTTTCCAGTTGAGTTTTACAATCGTTTATAGAATTTCTTCTTTCAAAAAGGATTGAAATCCTAAAATACAGCAATAACGACTAAAAGCGTTGTTTGATTGGATACGGAACATGTTCTCGTTTGCGATAGACAGACATACATTTTTAAGAGTATGTGACGTACAAAATCGTTGATAACAGAACTTTGGCAATAACAAGGGTTTCCGCTTTATCAAGAGAGAGATCGAGAACGCATATGTATGGGTAGGGTCATATAGACGTTAGTACATTAAACTAAAACTAAAAAATCAAAATGTTTAAAAGATGCAAAAACATCAATTGCGAACGAATTGGTCGTAAAGCGTGCAAACATTCTGAGAACGAAAGTATTTACTATACCCCCACCCTTTAAACAATGTTTAACGTTGATTTTCACTAAGTCTTCCATGTAATATTCTGATACTGATAATAAGGAGTGCTATAGTTTGGAAAAAAGAGCTCCAATTAGCTGTAAGAAAATCAACTGTTTCGTTTGGACTGTCAAATGACAAAATGTACTTGTAATTCGCGTTACCTACACAGGTATCACTGACAAGATATATTGCTGATATCAATGACTGTACTGTACTTTCCTGTTAATCATAAAATCACTAAAACACTTAAGTATATTGGCAGTAGGACTGAATTCTGAATCAAGTTTATCATCTGAAAATTCAAATTATATATTATATCGAAATAAATACTAATGGTTTGTTGTATTGTTTTATGTCTCCTATATTACGCAAGTCGTTTAGAGCCAAACAACACTGCACAAATCGACGCTCAGAAGATGAAATAAATCCAACTAAAACGAAATTGGTTAACAAGTCCTAAAGATGTAAAAGGGCAAATATGGCAACCGAATTGGTTGTAAAAAACATAATATCTTATTGTAAAGATAAATTGAGAGTAAATCATCAAATATTAATGACACAGAAAAATGTATCAACCAAATTTTCATAGACGGTGCATCATACATTTTGTCACACATTTGAATGAAAATAGCGCCTTCAATCATTATAATGTTTGACTGCAAAATGGTTTATCACAAGTTTTACGATAAGGTTGATATTGGTTGAAATGAAGATATAACATATCATTAAGCTTCCAATTCGTTCTAATGATATTTGCTATGGAATATTTAAATTAAAGTAAGATTTAATATATTCTTGTTTTATTAATACTTTCTCATTTCAATTATTTTGACATGACAAGCTTTCATAATAAATATCAGGTGGTAGAGCATTACAATCTTGTTAATAGGAAAGACAATGTTTAGAATGGGAATGCTGGCAGAGCAGGTTTTTGCTATTTAAGGAGTTTATTGTTCTCAAACTCATTCGATGATATATGAATAGCAATTGCTTCAGCTGTAAACAAAATAGAGGAATTATTTGGTAAACGGCTAAACAAAGTTATGTTGTCAACAACCAATGCTGCTGTGAGTTTTCCTGTCCTTAGAACTGTCGATATATATATGTTGTGGAATTTGAATGTAACTGTATAATACAAAGTTTTGGCTTCTACCTTTGGTACTACGATAGTGTTTCAGATTACTTATTCACAAGGATGTCGATTTGCAGATTGAACATTAACAAAAACATGATGTAGAATGGTCAAAAGTAAGTAGATTTTTGTATCCCGATCGACCTCTTCGTTAATTACCCATACTATTATAGTTCCTGTGATCAGGAAAGGTTTACAGTAATTGGGTAACACGATTTTTTAGCCGCATGTTTGCGCTACTTAATTATCATAGCGTTCATTTTGTTTTGTAGTCGAACCGGTGAACATGATATGTCGACACAGGACAAAAGAAGAAGTGTACCAGAACATGGAAACCTCGAAAAAACAGGAGCATAGAACTGTGTGTACCTTTAACGTTTTTCATTACAATTTACTCAGCAGAAACAGGACATATTTTGTACTTGACATTAACATTGACATAGCAAAAACATATCATGATGGGAGGGTTGGAAAACTGTTCACCATCAAGATGTTTTATCTAAACAAGGAGCACAAAACACATCACAAACAACGGAGTATGTATTTGTCTGTTTCTCGGTGCAAGACCAAATATGACGAAATTGCTATATGTCTGGAAGATGTCAGCTACAAGAAAGAGACCCTACTGACCCAGAAGCTCATTAGCACGGTTGTGATGGAACAGAACAAGAGGGTATCTTTCCTCTTTTTAGTAGATAACGAGAAAAAAATAATGGAAATCTTCACACCTGTGGTGCTTTGGAAGGATGTTGTTTTCCTAGAGCATTATTATGAAAGCAAGACCTTAAGCGTTTGGATCTCACTTGCTGATTCAAAAAATGACAAGTATGTAACAGCCAGAATAAGGAGTGGGGCAGATGTAGCAATAGGCGATCTACCAAATCCTGCCATTGTTACTAATTATCAGATCGTCCATGGGGTGTTAACGTATCCTTTCCGCTGCCTTTATGCCTACCTCTGGAATACATTCCTACCACTTCCTATTCCAAACGAAAATAACGAAAAGGAGACATTGCACCCCTAAATTAATTTTTTGAGTTCCTTTGAGACTCAATGTTTTATTAATTGTCATACAAGGCTTTTCTTTTGGTTTTTACATTTACTTCGTTTAGCAGGAGATTTCAGTTTCATAATGTGTATTTCCTTATCCTGATTTGCAACATTATTCGCTGCCGGATCGTTAATAGGCCATTAGATATATCGAAAGACGAATGAAGCAAATACAAAATGGAATCCACAGTACATTCTGTGGCTATTTAAAATTTCCAAAGTATGTTCCCAAAATATGTATATGGCAAGTGTTTTTCATTCAGCAGAATCATGGGTTTAACATTATTGTTCTGTAATACATATTTCACTGTGTAATATCGCCATAAAAAACAGTCTATCCACTCAAGGATCCCTGTCCCACTGCACTGTGTTTTTTTCCTAAATACGTATACAGTAAACTCCATGTAACTTCCGCTTGGATTTAATTGCAGCACAGTTGGTCCACGACGCCACCGTGTACCAGGTCGCTCAATCAGTTATAGCGATGTTATTATCAATCTGAAACTCAGGGTTTGGATTTCGGTCTAGCCACGGCCTGCTGAAGTGTTACACCCAGAACACTGTTGTTGTTTGTATTTTGTTTATTTCATCCTTATCATTTCTCATAAAAGTCCCGCAATGTATAGGTTCCTTTAAAAATGATCTATCAAAGCTATAATTATGCCTGGCAAACAGTTCGCAATGCGTAGTTACAGTATTGGCGGTGATACGTGAACTAATTAAGGTAGTTATGGTTCTCCATTATTTATATAAAGCTTTCGATTCGGTAAAGATATGCTGTTAGTGACCAGTTTCTGTTTGAATCACCATATTCTTTAGACAATCAAAAATACCATACCGTGTTTAAACGCATTCCGTTCCCAATTACTAGTTAAATTCCCATAGCCAAACGATCAAGAAATTACCAAAATGGAAAATATTAAATTAAATATGTAGACATTTTTGACATGTCACGTGCTGCAATTAAGTGCCATCTGTACAGTTTAATATGTTGTAATTATACGGAAAACCAGCTTTTGTATCCTCTAAACGTTTGCTTCAGTATCCATTTTGATCATACGCATGGGAAAAAATGACATAATCAAAATGGTGGCCTGTCCAAACGCATTTTCATGGTTTCTGAGCTTATTCCAGTTGTTGGTATGAGAGAAAAATACTCTTTCATGCCCAAGGGTGTAGGATAGGGACATTCCACCCACGGGATTTTCAAATTAGGCAAAACCTTTGGCAAAGCCTCGGGTTTTACCAAATTTGAAAACCCCTCGGGTGGAATGTCCTTATCCTAAACCCCTGGACATGAAAGAGTCTCATATTTTGATCTCTGCCTGTATAATGGTATTTTGAGTTTTATCCGTTCATGTATGTTTTACCTGGATGAACTAAAATTAGACCATACTAAAAGAGGACATTTTTTATACGGAAAGTATTTGATATTTTTCCCCAATTTTTTTTTTATTTTTTTTAGTCTGAGTAAAATGTTTTGCAGTTGAATATCCCGGAAGTAAATTGAATAAACCAACTGTTTCTACAAATCACAAAATCAGGAATAAAACCCCGGAAGGATGTAACAACAATAAATACCAATTTGGAAAAAACAGTTATCAACATGTTTCACGTCCTATTTTCCCTTTTTTGAAATTAAATTCTGGTACACAGATAATTGGATATTATTCCTATTTTGCTCATTGTTATGCTACATGTTATGAGTTTTCATGGTTACGCTAAAGTGTTCTCATGGTTTTGCTGATGTGTTCTCATGGTAACGCTAATGTATTCTCATTGCTACGCTTACGTGTTCCTATGGTTTCGGTGACAAAACATACATATCAATTAGTTATTGCTCTGCCTTGGCGTTAACAAAAGATATGATTACGTAACAAGTACATAAGGTATGGTGCGTTTTATACTAGCTTGTATCATTATCCTTCATTTAAATACTCATGATTTCAATTATAAGTTCTACATTTGAATTATGAAAATTGATTATCCAGTAAGTATGGATGACGATGTTGATTTTATCACGCTAGCTTGACAACAAAACTGAAGATATTTAGAGTACAACATGAAATGAGGAATCACGAATACTAATTCCCCGTTTAACTTCTTCAGTAAAGCACACCTATCCGCCAACAAGTAAACTTAACTCATTTCGATCAAAGGTACTATAATGTTTAAGTGTTTATAATTCATCACCTTCAGATGGTTAGATATATGAGTGGCGCTTTTAATCATGCTAGCATGGTCAATGCTTGTCGTTTTTTATATATGCATGTTAAAATGTTAATATTATAAGGCTTTATTTATTTGTTTCAGTTCCATGACAGAGTATTTTGTGAACATTTGGTTGCTTATATTTGACCTGTTACCTCACTTTACCATCACTTTACGAAGGTATATGTCATACACTATGAGAAATCTAAATTTGTCATTGAAAGCAAAAATGGAATAAATGCACAGCCAAATTTTGAGATATTTGTTCTCTTTAAAAAGATAGTTTCGAAAACGTATTAAAATTGATTTGTTTTCACATTTCGCGGCGTTTTTGGCATTCTAGTTTCTCCATGCTGGATCTAGGATGCATATTTATACGCTGACTATTTAAGTCTTTGATGTCTGAACAATATTAAAAAAGCCATACGTTCTCACCAAGAGGACAATGGGCCTCAAAGGTCATCTGAGTTGTACTATACAAAAGCTTTGTTCTTAAGATGTGAATTGGAACTAATGAAGTCAGAGAAACGAGCACACACCAAACCATTCTAATTGATTACAAATTAGTATTGAATATTAATAACTTAGTATTCCGCACACTAAGGACCAAATGACGTGGGAAATTATTATCATCATAAAATACCTGACAGCCCATCAAGATGTTTACTTATATCTTTTGAAATATATTGGTTTAATTTTTATAGGCTTTAACATAGTAACAGACAGGGTATGATGGTGTAATTGCCTCCTAACGATAACGCAGATATGAGGTAGCAGTGTACAGTAGAGGGGTTGTGGCCGTGGGTGATATTTTTGTTAAATGGCTTACCCCTGTATAATGATCTGTAAAACAATAATAAAAATAAAACTGTTCTAAAATTGGTATAAGCATGATGAAATGAGCTATGTGGGCTTCACATTTGAATAAAAAAAAAAATGTTTTTGGTCAGAGATTAAACTTTTGGCCATTTTCCGAAAGGGTGTCTTCACATGAAAAGCTAGCTTTACAGGAAGTAAAATTTTGACAACAGCACATAACGCAAATTGCAAAAACAGCACACAACGCAAATTGCAAAAAATCCAGTTGAACGACCTATACAAGGACACGGATAATTCTGCAACCAAGTATGAAATCTTTAACCTAATAGAATTTAGGGAAAGAAAAATACTAGTTGTGAGTCAAATTTGGTGGTTTTTGGCATTTTTTTGTAATATTTGATGTGGTAACCATGGTTTTCACACAAGTGACATACATAGAAAAAAGGAGTTTATACACATCCTAGTACTTTATATGTATTGCTAATAAAGCAGTTTACAAATATATATACATGAATATATGTGTTGTGTATGGTAAATCCGCTATGTTTACATTTCATAGACACGTGTCTTGTTTTTCAGAGTCGGGTCATTTCTACTGTACACTGCTACCTGATACCGTTTTTATAGAGCTATCTCACTGACATATCACGCTGAAAACACCCAGCATAGTATTCCGCCTGGTCATATTATACTGACAACGGGTGAATCATATTTTAAGGAATTTGGTATGTCCCGGCCTGGGGACAAAACCCATTGCCTTCGTCACCTGGGCATACGTTCAACATTAAAGCCAGAAGTGAGGTAGCGCCAAGCAGTGCACCAGGAAACATAAGAAAGTTAGAAGTAGAGTGAAAGACAAAAATCCCAAATATTGCAATGTGTGCAGCAGATTTATTTTGGTCGCGCAAACGCAAGTCCCAAACTATGCAAGGGGTTCCCACATTTGTCGACTCTTCCGATCTTCTCTTAATTCTCAACCTGCATGAGTGTATTTTAATAAGATAAATAGACTAAGTGTACATATGTTTACAGCTTCGGAAACGTTTCAGACTTATAAAAATAATATAGAAAAGTTTAGTGTTGGCTGAAGGTCCATGCAATCCAATATCAAGCTCTTGCTGTAATTGGTTTCTGACATGCTATGCAATGCCACTGGTCTTCACGATTCAATAAATAAGAATTGGTAATATATGAATGGTCCCTGAGACGGACACGAATAACCTTGTCTCTGTGCTTTCTATATAGCTAGGGCTCCATTCACTGATTACAGGTTTTCACTTCACCATTAAGCAAGTGTGCACGAGTAAAACATGTATGTCCTGTTCTGATTCTAGCAAAACCTACCTCCACTTTCCTATAATGAAACTTATCTTATTTATATATTTAGATACTATGATTTCATTCCCGATCGCACCAGGAAGTAATTTTACTTTTACTTTCATGAGATCATCTCTAAAAGTTACCAACCAATTAGAAGTTGAATTTAAGTGCCTCAACTAAGTTTCGAAATGGCAGCCAGATGTGACTTCTGATTAACAAGTCGATTATTCTTACCATGTTTCAGATATATCGAACAACTAGAACTTAAGTTTAAGTTTGAAGAAGGTTTCGAAATAGTGGCTATGGCTCCCATATTGCAATCACCATCGACCAAAAAAGTAACGATATTTTGTCATTGAACCTCTGAATTTTCGTAAATATATCAGCACTTTGTCAAGATCATCAGTAGATTATCCCTACCAAGTCTCAGTTTAATCGGTCTAATAGCGTTTTTATTATGGCATTTGAAACCATATTATATATTTCGTATCAATAAAAGAAACAACCGTGATTTAATCTCCAGTGGTAATTTATCATTTACATCAGAATCGTGTTTCCTTTTTTAGTATATTGGGGTCGCTTTTAGTACCATTTCATAATCTTTTTAACTATCGAACTTTACCACGATTGATCTAAGCATTTCATCTAATCATTGTCGGAGACTGTGAGTAGCCCTTAATTGAAATCCATTTTTATCTAAAGTTCCTTGTGGATGAATATTCTTACAAGGCTATATTTGTGAGATACAAAAATCCACTAAACACCGTTGGGTTCTTTTTATGACGTTTATACTGTATATTAAAAAAACTCTGCAAGTACAAAATAAACACATTACAGATTCACTCAAATCTGTCATAGTCTATATACATCAAGGGACATAACTCTTACATATATACTTTAATTAATCACAATAATAGTACATTAGATAGATACGTTTTTGATTCAATGAACTCCATATAAAATGTGATATCATTTTTATAATGTACAGATCAATGATATTGCATTTAGTTATAAATATCAATATACAGTTGATATGAAATTACATTATACTAATATACAAAATATATCTAAATATAAAAGAATACACAGATCCTGCGGGGGTTTACAGAATTTCCCTTTGTCTTAAGCGACGTATGAAAGTCTGTTCTTATAGAGTTATACATGTACTACTGAAAATGAAATAAATAAATACCTTATAAGACAATACTAATCACTATATACATGTACTTTATAATTTGGAATATAGAAATTATATACATGTAGAAAACTGGAATCTTACACTCTATCCATTTCTTTATATTTAATCAGAATGTTATGACTAAATAGTAAAATGATGGCGCCTGCCAGAAAAAGGGGGTTTGAGGAAGGGAGATCACTCCGTGGCACTGTCATCGAGATATAGGTTACGTCACGGTAGGGAGGTAGGGATATTTGAATCTTTTGTTTTTGGGCTACAAAGATGGGTGTAGGTATTGTATATGCATACTAAAGTTATGGCAAGTATTACATCATGAAAATTGGTTTTACTTCAAAAACCTCAAATTTAAACACTACACAATACCAATATTCTGATAATACATTACAGATTATACATATAAATAACATTATTAGAACTTATACATTTAAAAACTCTTAATATTTGATTATCAAATTTGGAAAACCTCCCAATATCAAAAGTGGTCTTTTATCCTTCAATGTTTTGGTGACTAAAGGTAATCACATTCCACCCATTCTTACATATAGGTAACACACAAACATTAAGGGTCCTCGCACCACATTCTTTCATCACAAAAATATACTACCGAACAATCGTTTAAGGTTCCTTATACAAAGACCTTTCATATGTTTTACAGTGCTAGCTTTTGACATCTCATCTCTAGATTCTCTCCACCTAGATCATCTCGACACTGTTTAATTTTGCTAAATGTTTCCTTAATATCAGTTAAATTATTTGTCCCTCTTCAACTCCTTACCATGTTCTTCTTATTCATTGCTGATATTATATGTATGACTTTGTCAACTTGTAACAATCAATTTGCAATTAAATTCGGTAGATCTCTACATTGGTATAACGTTTCCAGTTGAGCTGGTCTCACATTAGCAACACCATGCAAACATATCAGTAACACAAAGATAACATAATAGCGTAACCATGATAATACAATAGCGTAACCATGATAATTTGTTAATACGAGAAATCCAAAGATGTTCATTGACTGACACATCGGTATGTATTTCGATTATTATATATCACTTGGGCATACCAAAATCCAAACGTCTCACACTTGAATACAATTCCAACTTGTTATTTAATTATTAAAATTTTCAATTGTGTAATATCATAAACACGTTATTTACATATACCTTGGTGTCATTCAATGAGTTGATACCTATCCTTCTCAAAATTCAGATCGTGTTCTGATAGCCTACCCTTTGGAATTTCCTTTAAGTACTCGAAATCTACTGGTTTTCTTATATCTATGCGTGTTGGTATAGTCATCGAATAGGTATTCAAAGTCTTTTGATTTGAATCAATTAAGATAAACTCCCGGACATTCTACTTAGATTGAACAATTTAAAGCAGATATATCAGAGCATTACAGTATAAGAAAGAACCTTTTCAATATGGTCTTATAACAGTTAATCCACGTTAAATAACCAATATGTCGGGGAAGAAAAAAGTATAAGCTTTAAAATATGGCAGCAATGGATACTGAGATTAATACTATATGACTGACAAGGACACATAACATTATACAAAAATACTCGAGAAACCAGCGTATATTTTATTTGTTAGCACACCTGTAAACAGATATAAATCTTTAAGCTCAAATGACACATGACTGACTAGGTAATCAACTACTGAATATATATACGAACAAAGGGAAATTACGCTGATATGAACTAGAATTAGGTGGCAAGCTGAGGAGTATACAACCGCAGGTTTTCCGTACAATATCTGTTTTACAAGGTATTAATCTGTACATATATAATTTAAATGCAGCACATGGCATGTAAAAATGTCTCCACATAATATTTCAAATTTTCATTTTTGAGTAAACATGGTATGGTATTACAGTATTGAATGTTTGAAAAACATAGTGATTCAAACAGAAATTGGTCAATTAAAACTAACCTTACCGAATAAAAAGCTTTATATTATTTATGAGAAGAATAACAACTTTAAGAATCCCTGCTCCACTGCCAAAGACTGTTACTACGTATAGGGAACTGGGTTTTCCCAGGCATTACTATAGCTTTGATAAATCATTTCTGAAGAGACTTTTATGAGAAGTTATAAGGATCAAAATAAACAAAATACAATAAACAACAGTGTTCCGAGTGTGAAAATTCAGTAGGCCGGGGCTACAGTTATATCCATACGGAAGTTAGGTGGATGCTACTGTACAAGGAAAAACACAGAAAACTATATCAAACATACTTGGGAAACCTACTAGATTAATTGTATTACTTAGGATAGCCACATAATGTACACAAGGTTTCTCTTTGTATTTGTTTCATTCATCTTGCAATGTATGTTTTACCATTACAATGATTCGGTTATATGGAAAAACAGAGACCCCAAGGGTCAGACTAAGGGCCTATTCACTTACGATTCTGTAGCTTATAACGTTGCTTATCATTATAAGGAAATACACATTACGAATATGAATTCAAACTCTCCTGCTTAATAAGGTAACGTTATAAAAGAAGAAAAGCTGTGTATTGGCAATCAATAAAACTTTAGTCTCGAAAGAACTGAAGAAATTGCGTTTAGAGGTTCAATGTCTCCTTTTCGTTGTTAGCGTTCGGATAAGGAAGTGGTAGGAATGTTTTTCAGAGGTAGGCATAAAGGCAGCGGAAAGGATACGTTAACACCCCATGGACGATCTGATAAGTAGTAACAATGGCAGGATTCGGTAGATCGCCTATTGTAATATTTGCCCCACTCCTTATTCTGGCTGTTACATGCATGTCATTGTTTAAATCAGCCAGCGCAATCCAGACACGCAAGATATGGCCTTCATAACACTTTTCTAGAAAAACAACATCTTTCAAAAGCACCACTGGTGCGAAGATTTCCATAGTCTGTTTCTGATTATCTACCAAAAAGAGGAACGATACCCTCTTATTCTGTTCCATCACAACTGTGCCGATTAGCTTCTGGGTTACTAGGGTCTCTTTCTTGTTGTTGACGTCATCCAAACATATAGCAAGATCGTCATTTTTGGTCTTGCACCGCGAAATAGACCAGTGCTGTTTGTGCTGGGTGTTGTCCTCCATATTGAGATGGCCCACATTGATGGTGAACAGTTTTCCTAAAAATGTTTTTGCTATGTTAATATCGATGTCTAGTACAAAATATGTCCGGTCTCTGTAGAGAAGACTGTGATGGAAAACGTCAAAGGTACACACAGTCCTGTGCACCTGTTTGTTCGAAATTTTCTTGTCTTGGTACACTTCCTCTTTTGTTTTGTGTCGACATATCATGTTCACCGGTTCGACTACAAAACAAAATGAACACTATTACTGTAAACCTTCCCGTTTTACAGAAATAATAATATTCAGGGTTATTCACGTGGAATGTCGTTCAGAATTAAAATATCTTACTGTTTCTCTTTGCTATTAAATTAGTTTTAGAACAATCAACTCAAAAGAGCAATAACCTGCTCTGCAAGCATTTCCATTTAAAACACTGTTTTTCGTATCAAGAGGATTTTAATGTTCTTCATGTTCTGTGTTCAGCATGTCACAATATTTGCAAATGCCTTATTCTACCACACAACTGTATTACCCCAACCATACAGACGCGTTCTCGATCTCTTTGTTGACAAGCGGAACCCTGTGATATTGTCAACGTTCTGTTATTAATGATTTTGTACGTCTAATTTTTGTTTAGATTGGCCATACTCTTACAAATTCAATGTCTGTCTATCGCAGACGAGAACATATCCACAAATACTGTAAACCATTCCTGTACCCAGGAACTATCATAGTATGGGTAATTTAAGTATGCGGTTGATCGGGATTCAAATATCTGACCCTTTTACAATATGATTTTGTTAATATTCAGTCTGCAAATCCAAATCCTTATGAATAAGCAGTCTGAAACACAATCTAGTATCAAAGGAAGTAGCAAAATCTAACTGATATACAGTTACATCTAATATCCATCAACATACATATATACGATCGGTCATAAGGTCGAGAAAAATCTGCAACAGTCTCTGTTGTTGATAACCGATCTTTTTGCTGCCGTTTTCCCAATAATTCATTACTTTTTTTTACATCCGAAGCAGTTTCTATTCATCTACCATTGAATGAACTTTCAAAATAGCTATAACCTGCTCTGACAGCATTCCAAGCATTCCAATTCAAACATTTTCCTTCATATTAACAAGATTTTAATGTTCTTCCATCTTATATCTATTATGATAGCCTATCATGTCACACTTATTGAAATGAGAAAGTATCTATAAGACTGGAGATATCAAATACCTTGCTGTTTTTTAAACATCCATAGCAAATATTAATAAAACGAATGTGAAGCGTAAATGATCTGTTGTTTTTTCATTTCAACCAATATCAACCTGATAGTAATACTTGTGATCAACTATTCACAGTCACACGTTCTTATGATTGGAGGCGCTTATTTCAAACAAATACTCCAAAAATTTTATAATGAACTGTCTATGAAAATTTGATTGGTTCATTTCTTTTTCTGTGTCAATATATATTTGATCGTTTACAATCAATTGATCTTTACAATAAGATATATTTTTACATTCGGCGATTTTTGCTTATTCACATTTTTTAACCTTTTTGACCTATTTCCTCTTAGTTTCTTCTTTCTAAACGTCTTTTTTTAGCATTGTTGTTTGGCTCTAAACGACTTAAATTATCTATGGAACGTAAAACATATAACAAACCATTGATAAAGTACTTATTTCAATATAACATAAATTTGACTTTCAGATTAAAAACTTGATTCAGGATTCAGTCCTACTGCCAATATACCTGTTTTAGGGATTATATGATTAACCGGAAAGTATGAACGTACAGCACGGTCGTTGATTCCAGCAATAGATCATGCCAATGATAACCATGTAGGTAGTGCAAATTACAATTATATTTTGTCATTTGACAGTCCAAACAAACACTTGATTTTCATACAGCAACATTTCTTATTGGAGCTCGGAATGTTGCATGAAAGACTTGAAAACAAATGCCAAACATTGTATAGTAAAATATTTTCGTTGGCAATTGATGTTTTTGCATCTTTTAAATGTTTTTACGTTTTAGTTTAAGTTCGTTGTTATATCGTCTATATGACCCCAAACATACAAACGCGTTCTCGATCTCTTTGTTGACAAGCGGACGCCTTCAACGATGTGTTATTAACGATTTTATACGTCAAATTTTTATTTAGATTGGCCATACTCTTACAATTGTATGTATGTCTATCGCAGACGAGAACTTGTCCCGTATCCAATCAAACAACGCCTAAAAAACGAATATATCTAGAGTTTTTAATTTTGTATTTTAAATCAATATTTCGATCCTCTTTGAAAGGATAAATTCTGTAAACGATTGCAAAAATGTTGCTATTCAATCAATTAGGTTATTGAAAAATTAGGATTTTTTTTTAGAAAAACAAAGCATTATCGTCTTCTAAGGTTGAAAGCAAAGTATGATCTGTAACTAACATTAATTTATAGAAATTCGCGTTTATTGACAACATCAAATTCAAACCTGAATTCTGATGTCTTATTGGGAATTCTGTAAAGTGGTATCTTAATACAGATGGTCTCCTGGGCAGGTTGCCTATATATGATAAACACACTGTCAATAGCGACCGGATCTCTTTCAATGAATTCAATATTAACTTTATTAATAAAAAGGATAAACAAGAGCAGCTGCAGATTCCAAACCAAATAATAGCAAAAGCGATAGTAGTTTAAAAGAAATTTCAAAAAAAAAAATAAGGGTATGTATACCTTCCTCTGATGGTAGAATTGTGTAAGCGGGAAAGCAGGGGATGTATAGGACTATTACGACTAGCATCACCAGAAAGAACACCAAGGCTGTGTTTACTGGCGACTTAATGGCAACCAGATCCTGACTGAAGGTCCATAGCTTCCATATCCAAAGTTGACATCTTTCGTTCATGGATCGAACAGGAACTCGCATAGAATTGTCTAAAATGCGAAGGGAAAGCGGAAAACAATTAAAGCAATTAAAACTTTAGAAAACCAGTTAACTATTGGAAATTAAAGACTTTTTAGACCCTATATACATATTTTAAGTATCAATAAACATCTCTGCAACATGCACATTTCACTAGAAGTTATCATTCTTAAGATCATATACCTCAGCTAGTACACTCTATCTTACAACAATGAAATAAACAACAATGTCCACAAAACCACATGTAGACAATATATCATTATGCGCACTCCACTGTATATAATCAAGGACAAACAAAGAGTAATCTGTTTTGAATCCATCTTCAGAGACGATTCTGTCGCATAATGTGCAAAGTTTAAAAATAGATATTTCATATACGTGTTGATAAACATCAACGCTCTGTCATTCATAGTTCTGAAACAATTGTAATACTTGTTTGATGATGAGTCTTTTTCAGATATCTAGATATAATTTTGAAGTTCTGACATTGACTGATTCGAACAAAATCATTTGATTTTTATTTTAATAGAATAATCTAAATCATTATGAAAAAAATGTCATGAAATCGTTCCCTTCCAATCACAAGAATGAAATAACAGCCTCCCTTTTGGCACAGTTCCATTATGATTTAGTAACACACTCGTTCTCAGTGTTAATACCAAGGAAATAATACATGTATTACACCTTGTTATTTACATACAGATGTATTGGTCTACGACTCTCGTGTTTTCGGACGTACATACTCTGTAACATTTATATATATATGTATATATCATGGAATGGTGTGTCTCTTTCATGACCAAAGAACCTGTCCTACCCACATTAATAATTTCTATAAAAAACATTAGTTTAGGTTGTATCTTTCCTGACACACTGGTGTTCCTCCTACAACGCAATAACATCTAGGTACTAGGTATGTTGTACCATAACGAATATTATTTGATAACTTCAGCTTAACATGTTTGAATTTGAAAGATGGTATTTCAATAAAACTTTCAGCCTGCAAACTGCATAAGCCTTATTTACTCCGCCCTTATCAACTGTTGATGATGTCACAATTATGTCTTAATGCGGTAACACAATTATGTCTAATTGCGGTAATTTCTATAACTCCGCCAATATATTCTGAACGTTGACCTCGAAACTTGACTCGTTCTCAGAACAAAAACACATTTTCTTAAATACAAAGACACGATTTTCGGAAAGGGTGGGCAATCGGAAAGATTTGTGACATATTATTTCTATGAAATTGAAGTAGAACTGACTCACCGATTTCCTGTGGTGTTTGCATAGATGAATCTTCCAGGGGTGCCATTTCAAATTCCGGAATGTATTCTGGGTTGGTGATGCAGATTTTATGAGTACCAACAGTTTCGTCACTGTGGTGAACATCTTTACAAGCTTTACAAAAGAATATTTTACAATTCGGGCAGAATATATCTGACTGCTTAAGACAAAAATGACACGCGTCAACTTGGAGATTATTGACCCCAAAAATCACGCGGTGACTTGAGTTATTGCCAATGTGGATTGCTTCACTACAAGATCTACACAGACGTAAGTCACAATCTTTACAGTACGCGTCCGCAAACTGGTTGGGACACTTGTCGCACAACTCCGTCTTCCTTTTCTCTGAAATAAAATCTTTCAAATTTCTTAAAATAATGTTTTTCTCATAAAAGGAAACGTCAGGAAATGGGGCAGGATAGACTCTCATGCACAACGGACAGCGAATCACACGTTTATAAGTTGAAATTTGTAGAAATCGATGAGTCATACATTGTTCACACGTCGTGTGTGTACAGGGATAATACCTAGGGATATGCAGATTCTCATCGAATGGATTTCGGCAGATGGAACATTCTAGAAACTCTGCGCTTAAATCATCGAGTATTTTTTCCTTATGAATGGTTGCCATTCTTATTGAACCGTTGAAGCTGAAACAGAGCAAATTTCAGTCAAATATGTGTAAACGTGTTTATTTATGTTCAATATATGTTATCTGTGATCTTACAAACATGTAGGTGCGTCTTTGAATGTCCTTGGCTGTTAAAAGGACCCAATACTAATAAAACAAACAAACACTTGATACTGTAACAGGTATGGATGATCAGGACAAATAAGAACATTTGAACTTGTAAAGGCTAGGAAAACGGTGATGTCGTGTCATCGGTCCGTGACGACATTTATAATTTCATTGACTGTTTTAAGAAAGGTGTCTTTAGTTCCCTAGTGCCTTGTTTGGTAATACTTCACGTTCGGCCTAAATATTGAAAGTTCGCCTTAGTGCAGAAGGTCACGAGTTCTGTTCCCGGTTTCCTGCCTTTGCTGAGAACCAAACGAACCACCCGAAAGTTTTCCTCTCCTAGATATTTAAAAAAAAAGTGTCTTTAGTTCCCTAGTTTGTTTTTGGTAATACTTTACTTTCGGCTTCAATGTGAACTAAAACACCAAAAACTGAAACTGTCATTTTTAGCTCTCTGGGGATGGAGTGTTTTTGGGTGGTCTCCGAGCTAGGAAACACGAGATGTTCAATTGACCATTTTTGGCTGTTGAAATCGATTTGTGTAATTTGAGTGAATTCATTTCTTCGGTGCTCAGAGACCGGTGTTGCTAAATTCAGATAATGCACGCCACTTCCCAAAGGGGGGGGGGGGGGGGGGGGGGGGAGAGATGACTGAAATTGACTGATATTGACGCGTGGTTAGCGGTTTAGGTGACGCATACAGTCAGCACACGTTCTAATTAGGCCGACGACCACTCTGTGCCGCATGTGTTGTTTTGGTTTCATTTCGGAAATAACATCCGAACCTCCAAACATACATTGATAAGAATCGTTGTCACACGTAGCCAGCAAAACAATACGTGTTTGTTTTCTCAATTACGATGGAATGCGCATTTATTGTAATTATCAAAATTTCTAGACCGATTCATGTGGCATATAAAGCATTGAATTGGTGACAGGTTTCCATACTTTCCCCCCCGTTTATAACCGAATTAAAATCACGGTCAGTTAGAGTAATTGACTTTCTTTTTTGAGTGGTTTCCTGATATAGTTTATTTTTCGTACTTGGTGGTGCTTATACATTTAAAGTGTATGTACCAAAACATCAGTTCCCAGTTTCATAGAAAGGAATTAATTTTAATTCATAAAACTTTTTTTTTGAATGAAGAATGATTAGGTGTTTACAGGGAGTATATATAGTCATCGTTGCACAGGAAATGATAAGATACGTGGCTAGCCGATATTGTTATTAGGTTGAAAATCACTCTGCACTGTGTCACAGGCACATGGGGTTAAACCCTCGTTCTTTCACTTTGTACGTTTTTGTTCTAATTAAACAAAAGTGAAAGTACGAGGACTCGACACCACCTGTGGCATTGTGTGTTGTTTTGGGTATATTGAAATGATATTTAATTGCCTGACAATTTTCACCAAGTAGTGTTAATCATACCAAATTAGATCGATGTACCAATATCAGTTCTTCTGTACGACATACGCTTAATTTAGAGAGCTACGTAGCCAAAAACCTCTTGTTATAAATACCTTGGTTCTGGGCTGTTTAGATTCAGGTTGTAGGCGAGCAACAACCCCGTTTATATATCGATATGGAGCGGCATTGTGTGTTTTCCAAAATCTATTTTTATTTCGAATACCATTGGTGAGTATACACACCAATTAAAGGTTGATTTGTGGGTGTATTGCAGGGGTGATATAGATAATAATGACGCGTTTATAATTTCATTGATAGTTTGAAGAAAGGTGTCTTAAGTTCCTAGTGCCTTGTTTGGTAGTACTTTACTTTCGGCCTAAATGTTGAAAGTTCGCCTAAGTGCAGAAGGTCATGAGCTCTGTTCCCGGGTTCCTGCCTTTGCTTTGAATTGAACTAACGGCCCGACGTTTTAGTTTTGCTGGTTTGAAGTGAACTGTACTTTAGCAGCAGCTAGTTAAATAATGAGGTGAAATGACACTGTAAAATTCACACACTAAGAAACTTTTCATTATTGAATCGGCCATTAAACACGGTAACACAGTTGACGTTTCGCTAGCCTCATAATCGCTTCAGATGACTGCACACAGACGATTATCCGGTGTGTAACGGTACATTACATACCTGCACAGTCTATATAATTATCTTACAGAGAATTAAACACAAGGCTAGTAAAAAACTTACAAACTAAAACATTCATTGTTTTAACTTACCTTGGCTAGGAGTAGTTCCGATTCAGGTGCCAAAGTGACAACGGCCTCTGTTTATATCTAAGGTACATAGCGATATTGCGTGTTCTCCAAAATGCTATTTTTATTTCGAATACTCTTCGTGTGTATACACCTGACACAGCATATTATATATTATCATGTGATCTATTTTAGAAGTGTGGCGTCCTATCAACAGCTAAGGTCATTTAAAAGGTTCTGATGACATCAACCATTTTGTTAACTAGGTATATATTCCCCCTAGTCAACAGCTAGGCATTGGATAGGATAAATTACCGTTTGATAAGTAATGGTCTATTTAGTTTATCTAAAAAATCATTCAGTATTTAATAGTTATTTTGAAATGCCAATACTATTCAACATGATGTTAAAGGAGTCATCTGTTAAATTTAAATGTTATTTTACATAATGTTTATCATTAAAACCATAATGTGATAATTGTTTAGAAGACTTTCAGATTATTTATTGTAGCTAAGAAGAAGAAAAGAAAATCTTAAATTATTCAAATGCTGAATGCACAAACACTTTCATAATTCTTTTCAAAAGAGAGAAAATCATACTTGATCTCATATCTTGACACATAAGTCATATAAAAACAGAGGTTGAAAGGTTTAGAAAGAAAAAATATATTACATATTTATTGCAGACTTAGATAATCTAATTCTGTGCATTCAATCCAAAATAAAACAAACACAGATTCAAATCGAAAGAAGCCGCAGTGATACAAGAAATATAATTATTTACCTTTGGTTAATATTCGCTGTATTTCATGTTTTATAATATTTAATTTTTAAATATCACACATTGCAAATATAAATTGCAGTATAACATATGGACCAACTCTTACATGGTTTGAAATAATACGGTAGAACATCACGTCGCGTAACTTGGCAATTCCCGTGTCGTCGATTGGCACCTAATACAAGCGACCGTCAAAGACATTCTAGACGGTTTGCTGTTCTAAAAGCAGCATAACTGCGATGCTAAATAACATGTTCGATCATTTTAAATTCTAAAACGTCAAATCCACGAAAGCACATATATACGATATCTCGTTTGAAGTGATCTGACTTACTTCAAAGGCCGAAAGTCAGCACTTTGACATGGTGTTTCAAAGGCGGTTTTTTTCCTATTAAAGAATTTCCGACGTTTTTATTGTATTGTGTTTTACTGTTTTATACAATATATTGACTTTGAATAAAATCTTTTGAGAGGGTTTGTTGAACAAAATGACATAAGCCTAAATGTCTTATTTTTACAGGAAATCCAACCTCACTTACTAACACCACATGCTGGAACAGCACAACCCATTTCGGTCTTTGAAGTCGCCAGGAACATATCGAAATGAATTGGGGGGATGTCTGCATTAAAAAAATGTCAGATTGCCAAGAATACCTCGAGTACAATGAACGGTCGACGAAAACCAGGACATGACAGGGAGTAGGGCGTCCATTCTACCCAAAGATGTTTTCTGTACCTGGTTAGTTGAAATATTATTTATTTTGACATGTGATGCAGGAGATGTTCGCTCATCCGGAACACCTGACCTCAACTTTGTTTTCTTGTGAAGGTTCATGATGTGCTCTTAGTTGGTATCTTGTAATTTTGTTTCATTATTTTGTCATCTTGTCTGTACTCGATTTGTTTAACGTCTTATAAATGGTTATTGATTGTGTGTTATTATTGTTTATGTCGTTGATATTTTTATAATTTCATATGATCCTAGATGTCCAGTAGAAGCCTACAAGGCACACAGAAGTCAGACCAGAAGCAATGAAAGCACCTGAGTCACCTTTCTATTTGGCGGTCAACACGAACTGGTCTAAAAATGAAAATGCACTTTGGTTTGAGAAACAGAACATGGGTAAAAACAAACTAGGTTCCATCATGAAAGTGATGTGTGAGCAATGCGGTATTACAGGTAGGAAGGTCAATCATTCCGCTCGAAAAACAACAGTTACCATACTTGTTCATAATGGTGTCCCTCCAACTGAGGTCATGCAAATAATTGTCACCAGAACATAAACTCTATAAATCGTTATAGTTCAGCATAGGTAGAGCAACAGAAAAAAAATGTCAAACATCCTGCCAGACTTATCGGTGGGGCCTAATGGTGATACTCGTCCATATCAGTTAAAAAATGTGAGTCCCGGGGACACTGACGATGACAATTTAATTACAGCATCCCAACAAATAGAAGAAAGAGAAAACATGAAGTGTATTGAAGTCGCTTTACTCGTACCCACTGTTTCCGATGATGTCCCTTCAATAATTGACCTACCATTTACCATGACAAATTCAAAAAATTCTACTTGTCATCCTCACACAGTCTTTTTACAGGGGCAAATATCATTGCAAGCTATGAAACGAAATTAAAAATATGTCGAGTGGCGATGGTCGATTCAGACAGTGATTAAATTGAATTCCAACCAGATCCATTGTGTTATATTGTTAAAAATATGACAAGCCATATTATTTTGTAGTAATTTGGGAATTTCTAAATGTTGACGTTTTAAGTAAAATTGTTACTGTTTTGTTTATATACATCATTGGTTTTTTTTACCATTTTTATAAATATCAGTAAATAAAATAAAGAAATATATTTTTCTGTATGTTTTGTTTAATTTTAAGGAAAATAACATCTGATAAAAAGTTTGTGATATGATTATTTTGATATCATATCACCAATCAGCCCTCGAGTCCCGATATAAGGACTCTCGGGCTAATATGGGGTGTGATATCAAAATGGTCATATCATAAACTCTAAATATCAAACGGGTAACGGTGACGGTCCAGGACTCACGCTGTCAGTAGCCAAAGTTGCCATCGGCTATTTTTTAAAAAATTTATTTGCTACTAAAAACACGATGTGGTTACTAAATTGGCAATAACATGTACGTTTTGAAAAAAAAAAAATCTGTATCTTTGTCCCAGAAAAACATCGAATGTGTATACATAATCAGAACTGTTACAGTCCAGCGCGCTCTGTACGACTGCAAGCTAATGCGTGTTTCTTGTTGTGGAGAGAATTAGCAAGCTTAAGATGGCAAGAGGTAGTATACTTCGTGATACGTGAATGGACATTGGCGTCAAGTTACTTGGATGACCCATTGATGTTGAAAACACAGTCTGTCTGATAAACGAGCCACACTTGGGATATCGCCCACGTTCGTTTGTTAGCGCCGTAAGCCGAACCCATCACCTTGTTCAAGCACCACATTCAGCAAATGTATGGGTTTGGTATATCTAAATCAGCATACATGGTCTTCATTTACATATGCATTATCACAGTAAGCATAAAAACGTCCAATATGTTTTATTAAGAAACAAATCATCGTCTTTGAAACACCATGCCGAAGTGCTGGTTTTCGGCTTTTGAACTATGTCAGGTCATTTCAAACGAGACATCGTATATGTGTGCTGACGTGGATTTGACGTTTTAGAATTTAAAATGATCGAACATGTTATTTAGCATCGCAGTTATACAGCTTTTAGAACAGCAATCCGTTTATAATGTCTTTGACGGTCGCTTAAATTAGATGCCAATCAATGACAAGGGAATGGCCAAGTTATGCGACGTGATGCGCTCCCGTAAGATTTTGTGCAAATTTCAGCATTCTTATATTTGAGAAAACAAATTTCTTATAAGTTACAACCAATAAACTCAACGTCTTCTTAAAAATATTACATAATGGTTTAAATCATAAACATGTATAATGAAATTTTAATTTAACAGAGAACTCCTTTAACATCATGTTGAATAGTATTTGCATTTCAAAATAACTATTAAATATTGAATGTTTTTAATCGAAAGTATGGCGACTTGTTTTAAAAAAATCCATTGGAACTAAAAATCGCACTTGTCTACTGTTTAGCCTCTAATATTATTTTTGTCCACGGTGAGCCCTTTTAAATAAACTGTTTTAATATAAAACGGTAATATATCCTATCCAATGCCTAGCTATTGACTAGGGGGAATATATAGCTAGTTAACACAATGGATAATGTCATCATAACCTTTTAAATGGCCTTAGCTGTTGATAGGACGCCACACTCTTAAAATAAATATCATGATACTGTTTTATATACCTTGTCAGGTGTATACACACCAATAGTATTCAAAATGAAAATAGCAATTTGGAGAACACGCAATATCGCTATGTACCTTGGATATAAACAGAGGCCGTTGTCACTCTGGCACCTAAAACGAAACTGCTCCTAGCCAAGGTAAGTTAAAACAATGAATGTTCGAGTCTGTAAGTTTTCTATTAGCCTTGTTTTAATTGTCTGTAAGATAATGATCTGGATTGTGCTGTTATGCCATGTACCATTTTACACCTGATAATCGTCTGTTCGTTTGTTTGTTTGTTTGATTTTGTTTAACGTTCTATTAACAGCTAAGGTAATTTAAGGACGGCCTCCTCTGTGTGTTCAGTCATCTATGGCTAGAGAAACGTCAACTGTGTTACCGTGTTTAATGGCCGCTGTGAAAATGAACAGTGTTTTAGGGTGTGATTGTTACAGTGTCATTATCACCTCATTACATAACTAGCTGTTGCTACAGTACAGTTCACTTCTAACCTGCAAAACTGAAAGTCGGGGCCGTTGGTTCAATTCCAAGCAAAGGCAGGAATCCGGGGAAAACAATTATGACCTTCTACACTAAGGCGAACTTTCAACATTTAGGTGAAGTACTACTAAACAAGGCACTAGGAAGTTAAACCACCTTTCTTCAAACTATCAATGTAATTATAAAAGCGTCATAATTATTTATATCACCCCTGTAATACATCCGTTGAATTGGCGTGTATACACAACAATGGTATTCGTAATAAAAATAGATTTTGGAAAACATGCAAAATTACTTCCTTAATGATTTATAAACGGGAGTTGTTGCTCGCCTAAAACCTGCATCTAAACAGTTCCAAACCGAGGTATTTAAAACAAGAGGAAAATGGCCACGTAGCTCTCTGAAACATGCATGCTTCGTACAGAATAACTAATATTGGTACATCGATCTAGTTGGTGAAACATATCAAGAAAATAAAAAATATTTCAAAATTAATCCAAAACAACACACAGTCCCACAAGTGGGTCCGACACCTCGTTCTTTCACTCTGTTTAAATACAACAAAAACGTGAAAGAACGAGATCTCAACCCGAGGTGCCTGTGACACAGCGCAGAGGGATTTTCAACCTAATAAAAATATCGGCTTACCACGTATACGTATCTAATCAATTCATGTGCAACATTGAGTATATCGATATTCCCTGTTAGCACCGCATTAGTATTCATTCAAACAAAAAAATACGATTTATGAATAGAAATAAGTTCTTTGACGTCTTTATCATTCACTTTAAATTTAATAGCACCGCCATGTACGAAAAATAAACTGTATCAAGAAACCACTAAAAAAGAAAATGTAAATTACTCCAACTGACCGTGATTTGAAATCGGTTGTAACCGGGAACAAGAGGCCCAGAGGGCCTGAATCGCTCACCTGGATATCTAAGCAATCATGGCAAAATATTCTCCAAATGAGATCCAAAGATATGTCAGACCACAATGCAAATTCTTGTAGCATGTCTGTATTAGATTGTGCATGCCCAGCAATTTAATGTATGTTTATTGGGTGGGGATCTCAACTTTCCAAGCTGTAAATTAGAAACTAAATCCCTATGGTTGTGGCCAGACCCCATGATCAATTCTTATATCATGACTGCATTCGTCTCTTTTTGTCCAGCATTTGTATTTATAGTATTGGGGTGGGGATCTTAACCGTTTTAAAGTTATGACCCAGGGGTTAAGTCTGCAAGGGTGGGGCAGACCCCAAGGCTATCCTGGAAGCATATGTGCATCCATCTCTTTATACTCAGCAATTGCATACATGCATGGTTATAGGGTGGGGATCTCAACTGTGTCCAAGCTGTGACTAAGAAACTAGGTCTCTAGGGGTTCGGTCAGACCCCAGGGTCTATTCTAATACCATGACTACTTTTGTCTCTTTATGCCAAGCATTTGTATATATAGTTCTGGGGTGGGAATCTCAACCGTTTCAAAGTTATGACCCAGGGGATATGATCAATATCCATGGCATAATTCTACAGAAAAAGACGTTAATAACAATATAGCAAAATTGGACTCAGCCCTCTTGGGGGTCAGCCCAACCATTTGTATAATTTTGAATCTCTACTACCGAGGGATGCTTCCAATCAAATATGGTTGATATCTATCTCTTAGTTCCAGAGAAGAAGTCGCTTAAATCAATATAGCGCAATTGTCCCTTTTGGCCCCGCCCCTCAGGTCCCTCCGGGACCAGACCCACGGTTCATACAAAACTGGTTTCCCTTCACAGAAGAATGCTTCAGACCAAATATGGAACAAATCCTTTCATTCCTACAAATGAAGAAGGATTTTAAAGAATTTGCTATGTTTCCCCTATGGGGCTCCACCCCTCAGGCCCCTCAGGGGCCAGACCCCCGATTTATACAAAATTGATCCCCTTCACAGAAGGATGCTTCAGACCAAATATGGAAGAAATCCTTTTATTCCTACAAAGGAAGAAAGATTTTAAAGAATTTGCTATGTTTCGCCTATTGGGCCCCGCCGCTCAAGCCCATAAGGGGCCAGACCCACAGTTTATACAAAATTGGTTCCCCTTTACCCAAGGATGCTTCAGACTAGATATGGAACAAATCTTTTCATTCCTACAAAAGAAGAAGGATTTTAAAGAATATGCTATGTTTCCCCTATTGGGCCGCGCCGCTCAAACCCATAAGGGGCCAGACCCACAGTTTATACAAAATTGGTTCCCCTTTACCCAAGGATGCTTCTGACTAAATATGGAACAAATCCTTTTATTCTTACAAAAGAAGAAGGATTTTAAAGAATTTACTATGTTTCCCCTATTGGGCCCCGCCCTTCAGGTCCCTCAGGGGCCAGACCCCCGGTTTATACAAAATTGGTTCCCCTTTTACCGAAGTATGCTTCAGACTAAATATGGAACAAATCCTTTCATTCCTACAGAAGAAGAAGGATTTTAAAGAATTTACTATGTGTTCCCTATTGGGCCCGGCCCCTCAGGCCCCTCAGGGACCAGACCCACCATTTATACAAAATTGGTTCCCCTTACCCCAAAGATGCTTCAGACCAAATATGGAACAAATTCTTTTATTCATACAGAAGAAGGATTTTAAAGAATTTGCTATGTTTCCCCTATTGGGCCCGGCCCCTCAGGCCTCTCAGGGGCCAGACCCCCGGTTTATACAAAATTGTTTCCCCTTTACCCAAGGATGCTTCAGACTAAATATGGAACAAATCCTTTCATTCGTACAGAAGGAGAAGGATTTTAAATAATTTACTTTGTGTGCCCTATTGGGCCTCAACCCTCAGGCCCATCGGGGGCCAGACCCCCGGTTTATGCAAAATCGGTTCCCCTTTTACCAAAGGATGCTTCAGACTAAATAGGGAACAACTCCTTTCATTCCTACAGAAGAAAAAGGATTTAAAGAATTTACTATGTGTTCCCTTTTGGGCCCCCCCCCCCCCCCCCGGCCCCTCGGGGACCAGAACCACCATTTATACAAAATTGGTTCCCCTTACCCCAAAGATGTTCAGACCAAATATGGAACAAATGCTTTTATTCCTACAGAAGAAGGATTTTAAAGAATTTGCTATGTTTCCCCTATTGGGCCCGGCCCCTCATGTCCCCCCGGGACCAGACCTCCGGTTTATACAAAATTGGTTACCCTTCCCCCAAGGATGCTTCAGACCAAATATGGAACAAATCCTTTCCTTCCTGCAGAAGAATAAGGATTTAAAAAAAAAATACTATGTGTTCCCTATTGGGCCCGGCCCCTCAGATCCCTCCGGGTCCAGACCTCCGGTTTCCAGACCTTCGGTTCATACAAAATATGTTCCCCTTCCCCTAAGGACGCTTCTGACCAAATTTGGTCAAAAACTGCTCAGTCGTTTATGACTAGTAGCGATTTTTAGGAAAGGTTGACGGACGACGGACGACGGACGCCGCGCCATGGCATACGCATATTGCCCTTCGGGCAGGTGAGCTAAAATATCATGGAAGCCTGTCACCGATTCACATGAATCGATATAAAAGTTTTAAAAATTACAATAAATACGCATTCCTGTTGAACATCATCATACATGGTTCAGATGGTCATATATCGTGATCTTGATACGCTTTCATATCTTATGACAGCTGCCTGTAAATATTTGTGTCATCATTTGTGTGTCCACTCATTTTGATGGACCTAGAGTGCGCAGCCCACAATACTGCTGAAAGTCGTAACTTGAAAAAAAACACGTACTGTTTTGCTGGCTGAGTGAGACAACGTTTCTTATCAATATATGTGTGGCGGTTCGGGCGTTATTTCCAAAATTTAAGTTTGAAGGTTCTGACGTTGTTTCCAAAATAAAACAAAAACATCACATGCGGTGCAGAGTGTTCGTTAACTTAATTGGAACGTATGCTGACTGTATGTGTCACCTACACCGCTAACCACGCGTCACATCAATTTATGTTTTGAACTTTAGTTATTCGTAATTCACCGACAACCTTTCTTTTGTAAAATCTAACCTGTCATCTGATAAACGACAGTGAAATACAGAAAAATACAGTTTCACAACCCTCTAATGACATAAACATGAATATGTGATCTAGTTATCGATAATAAAGT